ATGATGAGGTGCCTTATGTATTCAACAATTCACTAATCCCACTAATTAATGATGAGGTGTCCTATGTATTCTACAATTCTCTAATCCCATTAATTAATGATGAGGTGCCCTATGTATTCTACAATTCCCTAATCCCACTAATTAATGATGAGGTGTCGTATGTATTCTACAATTCTCTAATCCCATTAATTAATGATGAGGTGCCCTATGTATTCTACAATTCACTAATCCCACTAATTAATGATGAAGTGCCCTATGTATTCTACAATTCTCTAATCCCACTAATTAATGATGAAGTGTCCTATGTATTCTACAATTCTCTAATCCCATTAATTAATGATGTGGTGCCCTATGAATTCTACAATTCACTAATCCCACTAATTGATGATGAGGTGCCTATGAAAACTAGTGACTTTGCCCAAATTTCTAGTCAGTTCTTCACATACATGTTGTAATAGGAAAAACAACACGAATGTAAGGGTTCATTGCTACACTAGAGGTGGTGGCAATAGTACATAAAAAAAATACCAAAAGATGAACAGTTATCTGAAACATTACATTCCTAAAGATTAATACCAATTTATTTATCCTCTAGACCAAGCTGTCCCAGCAAATATGGTGTGTGGACTTCACGATGTTGATGAACAACAATCAACATAAATGGAAAAAACCGTGATGATAATAAATTCATTCTTCTTAATGATTAGATGGACTTGTTACAATAGTGAAAATAAAGCTATAATGCTAAGTTATAATTGAAAGTTTTAAAAGCAGTGTATTCTTGATTACATGGTTTTGTATTATCAGACTGATAAAGAACATTGGTTGTGTAGTGAACCAACACATATAGTGGAGATCTTGGAATGTTACAATCAATCTACGATGTATTTTTGTAATAAAAATTCTTTGTTAATCTTCAATCTTAGGACTGAATCTATAACCTAAGCAGTGTTACAATCAATCTACTATGTATTTTTGTAATAACAATTCTTTGTTAATTAACAATCTTGGGACTGAATCTATAACCTAAGCAGTGTTACAATCAATCTACGATGTATTTTTGCAATAAAAATTCTTTGTTAATTAACAATCTTGGGACTGAATCTATAACCTAAGCAGTGTTACAATCAATCTACGATGTATTTTTGCAATAAAAATTCTTTGTTAATTAACAATCTTGGGACTGAATCTATAACCTAAAGCAGTATTGCAATTAATCAAAGATGAATGCTTGTAATACATGCTTGTAATGAATGCTTGTGTTAATCAACAATCTTGTGAAAATTTATAACATAAACACTGGTGTTAATTATTTTTAATTTGGTTTGCCAGAAAGCTACACAATAATGCACTATCTGTACTGTGCTTGCCACAAGGATTGACCCTGAGTTTTAGCATAACAAGTCTTAAACTTACCACTAAACACCATGTTTAATACCTACAATATCAGATGCTTAAATACTTAAGGAAGTATAATTTTTTTCCATAAAAATATAAATGTACGAACCAAGTCAAGACATCAGCAGAATATTTTTTCTCTAGAATCACAGTAAATATTCTGATATCAGTAGAAAAACATCACAAAAACCTTACTCCCAATAAGGTGAGTGATATAACATTAGGTAAATGAACATTATAAAATCAACTGGAAGTTAAGATTTAACTGTTTAGTGAATCACCTTGCATGAATTTGTTAGAGAAAACACACACACATATATTTTGTCACTACATTTACATAAGTTTCACAATAGACTGAACATAAACAACCGTGTAATGACACATTAAGCTACTACTACAACAATCTAAATGTTTTTAATAATCGATCAAACTAGTTTCTTTTTAAAACTGTAAAATGCATAATGCTGACTGCAAATTTTTACAGCGAAAAATCATCAAACATATATTTAAACATGGGCATTCCTTGTGTGTGAATAAAAATGTAAAAATCATAATAAAAGTTTGGTGTCTATAAATTTATTATTTTTTTCAAATCAACTCTTATGATTAAAAAAATTCTAGTTGTCTTATTCTTCTTTTGTAAATGCATACTGAAGTGTTTTTTTTTATTTTGATCTTCTTTTGACAAAATTATAACTTTTTTTTTTGGTGTTTTCTGCATTAGATCTTTTTTAATCCCTGATACTGTTAGGTTTTATAGTTAAATTTAAAGTTCACACGTCAATTTATTTCACAGTTTATACAAAATAACAAATCAGAAACATTATTACAGGTTTCTCTAAGATGTCAAATGCTTATTTTATTCACTCAGAATCTTACATTTAAAGAACATTGAAAATAAGAATCGGGGGTTTATAATTCAACAACTGCTATAGTATTTTACAAATGATTGGACTTGAAAAATTACACTGAAATTGGGGGGAGGGGGGAATGTCAAATTCACCCATCTTTTCAAAAACGTCCTACTCTTTCTTCTCTGTCTTTACGATCTTTTTCACGACTTCGAGACCTCCGGTCCCTTCGCTCCCTACTTCGACTTCGGCGCTTCCGCTCTCTACTCCGAGAACGACGATTACGGTCATAACTCCTAGACCTTGATCTGGAACGGGACCTTAATATTAAAAGATAAATGCTGATTAAAAAAGTTGAACTTTTATATCAGCTCTTTCCTCTGTAGACACAAATATAAACTACTTTCTTTATACACCAGTCTCAAAATTACCAAAAAAAGCAAATGCAAAGAAAATTATTCTACTGAGCTAATGAAAAAACTGCAAGCAAAAAAATTACTGAAAAACTGGTAAATTATTTTATTGGTTCAATAACAGACTACACTTTTAGGATTTAACATCTTGTAAAAATTACTGAAAAACTGGTAAATTATTTTATTGATTCAATACAGACTACAGTTTTAGGATTTAACACCTTGTAAAAATTACTGAAAAACTGATAAATTATTCTATTATTTTAATAACAAGTTACAAATTTAGAATTTAACATCTTGCAAAAGTTAAATGACTGAAAAGCTGGTAAATTATTATATTGATTTAATAAGAGACTACCAGTTTAAAGATTTAACATCTTACAAAAAAAAGTACAGACTAGTATATCAATATCGTACATGAATATGTTATACACAGCGTTTTATTATTCTCTTTCTTCTCTGGCTCATTTTTCATGATATTTTTTTAATATTAATTCTCTTAATAATCTTACATTCTCTTCCTTCTTCGTCCATACAACTCACGCCGGAGTTCTCTCGAAATGGGTTTCAAATGCATAAAGTTACAGAATCCACTTCTTGTACATTCCCTGGAATAAAAATATCCAAAGATCAGTGAAACGTTTATGTTCTCAAGTTTATTAATTGTACAATGGGTAGAGTCAAATACATTAAAAAAAAACTTAATCAAGAAATTACCTATATGTAAGAAAATTTCTACAAAATCAGAGACTTACCAATTTTGGGACATGTTGCTCAATCTGAGGATTGAGAAGATACAAGGGAGTTCAGTTTGTTGTTATGTTACCTTCATACATCAAATTTTGTAATATGTTTCTACATTAAATTGTGGTACTGACAACGTGTTACTTATTAAGAGGTATAAAAGAAAAAAGTTTTTTCACTCTTTACAAAAAATGTATCAAAATTAAAGATATTGAAGTAATTAATATCCACCAAGTTTAAAGTTTTCATAAATTAGCAGTTATGTGTTCTATTACTTAATTGTTAATTTTATTATATATACAAATAATAAAAATAACAGAAACTTGTAAAGTACATCAAACAATCTAAAAAATTAATTTTGTAACATTTTTAACTAAACTTTTAATTATGTGACAAATAAAGTTGGAGACATTTCTTAAAATTTGAGATACAGAACAGATATAATGAATTTATAAGTACCACATAAACTACAAAACCACTGAAGCTTATTATATCACATACTTTATTCACAAGCAAGCAGCAGCAACAGTCACATTTTGAAATGTGAAAAATACTTCTGTTAAAAGCCTTTTCCAATTTAAAGTATCCATTTTAACACGATTATATTTTTCTCAAAAAATTTTATTCTCTAACAATTAAAGCTTTAGTAAAAATAATATTGATTTGTATTCAAAACCAATGTTTTTAATAACATGACAAAACACTGTTCATTAGGCTCAACTCTTCATATTTCTCACGTTTCTTTTAAGTTTTACCAGAAACAGCAATGTTGTTATTAGCCAACTCTGGAGGAATGACACCACTATAAGACTTATAATTACGATATCATTAAGAACATTTCCAGGTTTTCTTAACATAAAAATCCTCTTTAACTACCACATTTATATATAAACAACTCTCCCAATGCTAGGCTTATTTTTTGGTACACAATAAAAACATTTAATATTTCATTACTTATCTGAATTTTTGAAACTTGAAACTGATAAACTTAGGAAACTTTGATGGGGAATACCATTTCTTCATGGTGGTACAAAATTCCACACATGTGGTTAGTATCACACTTTTCAAGGTTAAAACAAAGGTTATATAGTGTGTCCCACGCATGTGCCCATGACTGTGAAAGAATGTTTAACCTGCTTTTATTGTTTTATATTAGCAGGAAATGAACAGTAAAGCAACACTATGAACACGAATAATAAAAACACTTGTATTACTATAAGTTATTCTTACATGTAGCTTACAATATCTCTTCAGAGTCATAAGAACAAAGTAACATTTAATGTACATTCGTGATATATTAAAATTAAGTTTAGAATTTTAATAAATTGATTTTCTCAAAGCCGTCAACTGCCCTTGAAAAAATCAATAAAAAATTTAAAATGTACAACTTGAAAATAAATGTTAGAAATTCACTCTCTTTAATAATAAATCACCAGTTATAAAATCTTTATTTATAACGTCTCTCAACAATATAAAAAAATCCAACTGTTTTCAAAATACTGTTAGTTTAAAACATGAGGCCTATAATGTTAAAACAAAACAAAACTTCTGTTTGATTTGAAAAGATACAAAAGTGCCTTACGATTTATAGTAATATATATATTGTTATAAGAACAGAAATACCAACATTACTTTTACAGGGAGGACTTTAAATTTAAAGCTTATATGTTAAAAACAGTTTCCAATTCCAGACAACAGGTAATGCTTATTAATTTTTATATCATCATCAGAAAGGTAAAAAAAATGCTACTCTTATACACCTTTCACTAAATATCCTAGCAATCACCATATCAGCAAACGACTCTTAAACCAACAACTCTTTCTATTAACACATAAAATCATTTTATGGGCCAACATTATTTTGTCTACTGCTTCAAAGAAAGCTTTAGTTGTGACATATCATCACAACTACCTTAGAGGGATTTCCTTTCTTACTTGTACATCTCTCAAAATATTAGTAACACCACCAGATGGTGCTGGTCTCAGTAGAAAGAACAAAAAGCTTTACCAATACCTCATATCAGTATTGTAAAGGAAGCCTTAACACCCTCACGTCTTTAAGGGGCTACGATAAAATGAAATAAATATTTAGTTTCTTGAAAGAAACCTCTGGAATAAAATGATTGTTCATATCTACCAAAATCTAACACACATACAACAAAACTTACAGAGTGATACACATATGCCGTAATAGTTTTTAATTATTTTTTATTATAAAAATTATATAGAGTAGAAATTTAGTAAAATAACACAAAGCATTATACTAAAGTTTTAACTTTTTTCAAAAGGCTATGAGAAGCTAAAACCTCTGAATGTTGCTGTTTCTACACCTACATGATCAAAGAAAACGGGGTGGCTTACACTGTTTAAAGAATAGAATGTTTATTTCCTCTGAAATATATTCTAGAATATATTCTATTACTGGTATAAAATTATATTAAATCTTTTAACTGTACTCAATTTTAACAGAGCCCAACAACAGTTAATATTTTATCTATAAAATATTTATATTTTATCTACTTTCACTATCTGCATAAATTATAATAATAATAATAACCTCAAAAATAACAACACAGCTCTTCTGATGGCTTTAAAATTAAATCTAAAAACTTCACCTAATGTCTGATATACCCATTTTCAGGAATATCTAAATGATTTTAATATAAACTAAGAGAAGCTTAAATATAATTCCAAACCTTCACCCTTTATAATTTCTACTGCACCCCACCTCCATTCATACACAAAAAATAACTTCAACCACTAATAATTTTGCATAGAGACATGAAAGAATTTACCCCATTTCATACTGTCGACAACAAGCTTCTCTGAAGTCTGTCACTGGAGAAAGTTCAGCATAGACAGGTCTTCCTGCAAACCATCGGTTGTTTAAATCTGCCACTGCTTTCTCGGCATCTTCTTCACGTCGAAACTACAAAACATTAGTGTTTAGTCAACAAGCTAATGTGACGTTTAAAGCTTTAAGCTAGTCATTAATATCTAACACAAATATTAAACTGGTGCAATACAAATGAAAAGCCTAATAATTTTTGTAATTTTCAGAAAGTTATATATTTGAAACATGGTTAACATAAAATGATCTGTACAACAGACAGATTTTGGACTTAACACTCCAATTATTTTAAAATATTCAGTTATAGCTCACCAGCAAAAACTATGTTTTCAGAAGTATTAAGTACTTTGTTTAGTATTCTCAAATTATCTACTTTTAATACTCAGTGTAAAAAACTGAAAATAGGAATGGGTGCAAGCAGTCATTTTCTATGTAAATTACAACCTAGTAATAATGTGTGGAATTAAATGTAATAATCATGGTATTTTTTGTTTACATTTTTTGTAGCTCCTATGTTATTAGGGGCCCATTAACCAACAAAGTCTTGAATCCTCAACCAATTTGGTGCATAACTAGTTTAGGACAATGTGTGTAAGAAGCCAACAAGGATCAAGGACAGCCAGTAACCCTAGGATAAACAAATATGGATGCAAATAAAACCATTTCACTATCTTCTTCAAGGTAATGCTAATCTAGTAATTACGTAGCTTACAGTAAAACTACCTTCCTCAGTAGGTATTTAACTACATTCATAGATGGTACCACTTCAATACATCAAAAAGAAAAAACTTGATTAAATCAACATATATATAAAAAGCACAAAAATCTGTGTCTCTGTCTGTTTGTCCATTATCTAACTACTCCTAGGATGCTGGGCTAGTCTCAAACAAACTTTGTGGGATAATAGTTTTGAAAAAGGGACACGTCAATTGGGGGGTTCACAATCCCATCCCTTCCATTATTGCTGTTATTGAGTATTTATTATCTTTGATGTAAGTTGACATTCACTATAGGGATATTAAAGATAAACATGAGGATAATCTTACTATAAAGATGATCCATTATGTGGCTCAGTTACTGTAGTTTTTTGTAAGGCAACTGGAATCTGTCAGTGTACAAGCTATATTGTATAAGGATTTTTTCCTGTGAAGGGAAATAAAAAAGCACCTGAAATTGGGTACATTTCCATATTTTTTTATAAACTTTTGGTATGCATCACCCAGAGTTGGCTGGCTCAATTACCTTAATGTTTGCAAATAATTTTTTCTATCAACTAAATGTTATCTTAAGAAAACAAACAATACACTGTTTATCTGTACATGATCAAAACATTTTTTTTCTCATAATTTCCTTTTCCATTATTCAGTCAGTACATTTAAATGTATTTTGAATAAGCAGGATATTCAACATTTAAAATGTTAAGCTGTTTAAGTTATTTTCAAAGTCCAAACAATCAAGTTCCAAAGTTTTTCAAATTAGTAATTTGTTTGAATAACTAGTAATCTATCCATAAGCCCCTCACTGGTTTAGCAGGATAGAAATTCCCATCTTCTCCTTATGAAATTAGACATCCATTCATTTTGACATCAAGTTCATCATGGTTCCATTCACCATCCATAAAGGCTTTAGTGACAGTCCTGTAAGCCATGGCCATGTTTACATTGAATCAAAACATAGAAATAAATTAACTTTCATCAATTATAGTAGCATTGTTCAAAGAAGCATAACAGTTCTGTTTGTTAAAATTCATTGAGAAATGAGTTCTCTTGATAAGGCTTCATTAGGATACAAGATTTCTCACTGTTAAGCTTCTTTGGGATGTAAGATTTCTCACTGTTAAGCTTCATTAGGATACAAAATTTCTCACTGTTAAGCTTCATTGGGATACAAGATTTCTCACTGTTAAGCTTCATTGGGGCATAATTTTCTCACTGTTAAGCTTCAATGGAATATAAGATTACTCACTGTCAAGCTTCATTGGAATATAAGATTACTCACTGGACAAGCTTCATTGGAATATAAGATTTCCCACTGTTAAGCTTCATTGGAATATAAGATTTCCCACTGTTAAGCTTCATTGAAATAAGAGATTTCTCACTGTCAAGCTTCATTGGAATATAAGATTACTCACTGTCAAGCTTCATTAGGACATAAGATTTCTCACTGTTAAGCTTCAATGGAATATAAGATTACTCACTGTTAAGCTTTATTGGAATATAAGATTACACACTGTCAAGCTTCATTGAGACATAAGATTTCTCGCTGTTAACCTTCATGGAAATATAAGATTACTTACTGTCAAGCTTTATTGGGACATAAGATTTCTCACTGTTAAGCTTCATTGGAATATAAGATTTCTCACTCACAAGCTTCATTGGGACATAAGATTTCTCACTGTTAAGCTTCATTGGAATATAAGATTACTCACTGTCAAGCTTCATTGGGACATAAGATTTCTCGCTGTTAAGCTTCATTGGAATATAAGATTACTCACTGTCAAGCTTCATTGGGAATAAGATTTCTCACTGACAAGCTTCATTGGAATATAAGATTACTCACTGTCAAGCTTCATTGGGACATAAGATTACACACTGTCAAGCTTCATTGAATATAAGATTTCTCACTGTTAAGCTTTATTGGAATATAAGATTACTCACTGTCAAGCTTTATTGGAATATAAGATTACTCACTGTCAAGCTTCATTGGGACATAAGATTTCTCGCTGTTAAGCTTCATGGAAATATAAGATTACTTACTGTCAAGCTTCATGGAAATATAAGATTACTTACTGTCAAGCTTCACTGAGACATAAGATTTCTCACTGTTAGGTTCATTGGAATATAAGATTTCTCACTGACAAGCTTCATTGCAAAGAAGAACAGCATACAATAAAACAGAACAGATAACGAAAAAACAGGATATGAACCACTTGAGAAAAAGAAGCTTTCTTATCCATCTGAATAATAACACAGTCAAGTTAGCACACAATTCAATACAACCTTGATACCCCTGTTAAAAGCATTCAAATTGTTGACTAAAGTCCTAATAATGAAGAACTAAATAAGCAGATAGTAAACCATCTAATAACAACTAATTACTCATTGAATTTAAATGACAGTATCGTAACAACTATTAAATAACTAACCTGATCTCCTAAAGATTTAAAATGTAACACTGTTTTTCATTTGTTAACAACAATCATTCCATTTCTAGCTTAAATGTCTCTGCCAATAAATAGTCTGCTTGAGAATTTGTTTGTTTGCTTCAAGTAAAGCACAAAGCTACAAAATGGGATATCTGTGCTCTGCCCACCATGGGTATTGAAACCCAGTTTCTAGCTTTGTAAGTCCACAGACATACTGCTGTGCCACTGGGAGAGCTTGTTTGAGATACGAGCCATTTCTTTATAAGCCCTTCATTAGCTCTCCAAGCTAGGAATTTCCAATTCACTTCAGTATTACTTCTGTCAGTAATTCTTTCTCCATTCAGAAAGACTTTAACCCTTTGGATTCTATAATCAAATTTTTTCAACTTGACATTTATAGATGTTTGGTACGACAAGCAGATCTACCCCGTGTCACAAAAACTTTTCCTCGTAGTGCGACAATCAGAATTTCCCGCCTTAGTACCATGTGTGCGTACGTCAACGAGCAAAAGTGCAACTAGTGATTGTGATATTGAAAAAGCTCTAAAAAAGGTCAAAAATCTAAGTTTCATTTGCTAGTGGATAATTGACACTTTTTGAGAACCCACCCAAAATTCAGTTATGCACTCAAAGGGTTAATGACAAAATGAAAGGGATTATACTGTTTGTCAAAACCATGTTTAGATCATAAAATACTTTAACTTTCATCAATATATAGTAGCAAAGTTCAGAAGAATACAAGAGTTCTCTCACTTAAGTTTAACCAAGATAAAAGGTATGTGCCTTATTAACTGTAAAAGTGATAAATCAATGCAGTTAATTTTTCAGATGAGGTAGGCATAATGCATTATCAATAAATATGTGATATATTTAAAAACAATAACTATAAACTAAACACAAATTTTACAAAAAATACAATACTCAATGATAAAAACATTTATATATCACATATATTCACACTCAATGAACTTGGATTGCTTGTTGTTTTCTACATTGATTGTGAAAAGATGGAGAAACTTTATCCTGTCACTTGCTAGTTTGTACTTACTAAAATCTGTCTACATATCAGAAGATGGTACAGAATTAGTCCACAGATTACTGATGTTTAATTGGTAAAATATTCCAACATATCAATAAAGTCACGTATCATTAAAATCTTGGAGATGCATCGTTAGTCCACACAAACTTCTGTACATGAACATCCAACATTTTAATACTTTCTTGTCACTGTCAAGAGAATATAAATATCCTATACCACAATAAATGCTACTTAAAAAACATTTCAGCTATTACACAATGATACAAACCTTGTTGAGATATCAAGTGTTTCTACGATATTTTTTTATGTAACCAACTACCATACTAGGGAAAGCTTGGAAAGTATTAAGCTTTTAAAGTGATATAAACCTCGAGATATCAAGTGTTTCCATTAGATTGCTTCATTGTAACCAATCTTCTCATACTAAATAAAGCTGGGAAGTAAGAAGCTTTTAAAATGATGTAAACCTTGAGTTATCAAGTGTTTCCAAGCATTGTTTCATTGTAACCGGCTTCTCATACTAGATAAAGCTGGGAAAGTAACAAGCATTTAACATGATGTAAACCTTGTTGAAATATCAAGTGTTTCCATAATATAGTTTTATTGTAACCAGTTTATCACACTCAGTAAAGCTAACAAGCTTTTAGAACATGATGCAAACCTTTTTGAGATATCAAGGGTTTCCATGATACTGTTTTATTGTAACCAGCTTATCACATTGGGTAAAGCTAACAAGCTTTTAACATAACATAACCTTTGTTGAGATACCAACTGTTTCCATGATATTATTTTATTGTAACTAGTTTATCATACTAGGTAAAGCAATGAAGCTAACAAGCTTTTAATGTGGTGTAAACTTTGAGATATCAAGTGTTTCCATGATATTGTTTTATTGTAACCAGCTTATCACATTGGGTAAAGCTAACAAGCTTTTAACATAACATAACCTTTGTTGAGATACCAACTGTTTCCATGATATTATTTTATTGTAACTAGTTTATCATACTAGGTAAAGCAATGAAGCTAACAAGCTTTTAATGTGGTGTAAACTTTGATATATCAAGTGTTTCCATGATATTGTTTTATTGTAATCGGCTTATCACACTGGTTAAAGCTGGAAATTTAACATCATTTGGTTTATTACACGCGGATATGCTCCGTGTAGAAGCTGTGAGGCTCAATAAACCTATTTTAGTTTTATTTGTTAAAGACTTCTCAACCAAACATATCAGTGTTATCCATTTGGTTACTAACCTGGATCCACTGTGTACTCAAAGTTTTTGCATTAAGTCATATTTTTAACTCATGAGTACATTTTGACCAAGCATCATACAAGGACTAAATCTATTATAAATTATTAGGTTATTTTTTTCCCACATATCACATATATATATATATATATATATTTGATTTAAACTATCAAGAGAAACATGAATAAATTATCTTAGTTATATAATGTGGTAACAGTAGAGATGCATCCAGAGTTCCACCTTAATCACCTGTTTCTCACTTCATTCTTACCACTTCTCATGTGATGTGATTATAAACTGTATAATCTAACAAAGCAACATAACACAGCAACATATTATTGCAGGCTGCCAATGAAAACATTATAAAAACACATTCTGCTTATTGTTAGAGATAGAAGTTAAGTAACATTATATGTGCAAGCGTAAGTAATCTTTCAGTATGAATACAAAACAAATATATCAATTTATATCAGTATTCAATCTAAAACACATTTAGAACATCTATAATGATATACTACATTCCACATAGGTATCCTAAACATAGCTCGGGTTATAGAGGTTCTATCACAAGGACATTAACAATACTTATACAAGAGTGTGCAAATTTAAGGTTGATGTCATATTCAAGCAGTAAGAGATATGCAGTTGTAATCACCCAATAAGTAGAGAAAATTTTTAAAAATCTTAGCCAGGGCTAATAATGAACAGGAGTTAAGAATAAAAGAAAGTCTATTAATTAATAGATTTAAAACCAGGCATGAATGAACAGAATAGTGCATTTGACCTATTACTAAAGTTATAAGTGTTAGAATATCATGTTTCTAAAACTTCTTGGCTAACTAATACAATGTTTACCACATGCTGGACTAGACTTAGTCCAGAAGTTTGTAAGTTCTCACAAATAAATAAATCATTTGATTTTTTGGAGTTATAGCTTCAAACCTTACCTTCACATAAACATTGCCAACAAGATGATCTCCAAGATTGTCACACACATTCATCTCTTCAATCTCTCCATACTGAAACATATTTCATAAAATTACAAACAGCATTAACCTAATTATAAAAGCTTATTTTCAACACATCTATAATATATATCTTATAAAACCAGCTCTCAGAAACAAATAACCAAAGTGTAATTAAAGAAGTATATTTAAGTGTCTTGAATTTGATGATGTAGTACCTGACCACAAGTTTGTATGTATTATTGACCTTGAGCTTTTATATGTGATCTTTAGAAGTTAATCACATCAAAAGTAAAGATATAGGGAAATCAAAAAAATTCATTTTTATGTAATTTCACACAAAAATAAAATTAAAACTTAATTTATATTGGAGTCTTTTGGAACAAATTAACTATAGCATTATTGAAATGCCTCTCTACTCTGGAGTCTTTAACTTAATGAAAATGCAGAAGTATTCAAAGAAATTTGGAATGTAATCAAGTATAGAAACAGAAGTCGTACTGAAGAAATCTGGAATATAATCCAAGTACAGGAACAGAAGTCCTACTGAAGAAGTCTGGAATATAATCCAAGTACAGGAACAGAAGTCCTACTGAAGAAATCTGGAATATAATCCAAGTACAGAAACAGAAGTTGTACTGAAGAAATCTGGAATATAATCCAAGTACAGAAACAGAAGTCCTACTGAAGAAATCTGGAATATAATCCAAGTACAGGAATAGAAGTCCTACTGAAAAATTCTGGAATATAATCCAAGTACAGGAACAGAAGTCCTACTGAAGAAATCTGGAATATAATCCAAGTACAGAAACAGAAGTCCTACTGAAGAAATCTGGAATATAATCCAAGTACAGAAACAGAAGTTGTACTGAAGAAATCTGGAATATAATCCAAGTACAGAAACAGAAGTTGTACTGAAGAAATCTGGAATATAATCCAAGTACAGAAATAAAAGTTATCCTGAAGAAATCTGCTAATGAATACTATTTCCTAGGCAAAACCAGAAGTTTAACCAAGAGTGATAAACCACACTGAGTTTCTTTTGAAGTCTGCATTACATGTTTTATTTTGCTTTTAATATAAATAGAAATTAAATGCAACAGTAAAAATTTTTCGTTATTCAACTAGTTAAAGTTGACAATTCAGATACTGTTTGTATGTATACTCTATTATTATACTCTATGTATAATGCTGCTATATTGCCAAAACAAACAACTAAGTTTATAAAATGTACCTTCTTTACAGACTAAAGAGGGTTTAAAGTCAAGCACCAACTGTTACAAAGCATAAACTTATCAACTAAGGCTTGTGTATCTAACACATATTTTAATAGTTTGAAAAAATCTGTTTTACTAGCATGTATTCTATTATTTTCAGTATCAATGTTGGACTAGAAGCAGATAAGTTTGTGACATTACAATACAATGTTATTACTACTATGCCATACATATATATATATATATATTTCAAAGCAAAATTTGGTTTTTATTATTTATTATAATTATTGACAATTTTTATTGCACAACCATATGGCAAATAGGAAAAAAATATTACTGTTGTTACACTAATATTTGTTAGGCAAGTATTATGGTAGCATCAGTATAATTGTCTGTGTATGCTAGGGCAACATCAGTATTATTGTCTCTGTTTGCTAGCTTTATGTTAGTTAAGATAAGTATTATTTTCTATATGTACTAGGCATGTGTTAGTGTAACATGTGTATTGTTTGTGTGTGCTTGCCTTGTATTAGTGTAACATCAGATTTACTGTCTGTTTTTGCTTGCCATGTGTTAGTGTAACATCAGTATTATTGTCCATGTATGTTAATCACATGAACAATATTAATGATGTTACACTAATATGTGGCTCACAAACACAGGCAATAATACTGATGTTACCCCAACATTAACACATGGCTAGCAAACATAAATAACTATGGTCAATTTTGAGGATTTTGCAGGTTGTCCAGAGGTCAACCTGGGGGTATTCTGAGTTTGTCCATCAAAGAATTGGACAATCTAGAATATTCACAAAATACACAGTAAAAACATGATATAAAATTTGTTATATTGTAATTCACTCAGCCATCAACTTCATTAGTGTGAGATGTGTCCATAATTAGAAAATGTTACCTGACAATATCAAAATACAAAATAAATCTAAGTTACTCGTTTTACTTTCTAGAATGAAGGCACATTGTAACAGATAATCACACTTTATCAATTTTTACACCCAAAGTTAAAACACAAAGATGTAAGCAGGAAAAAATAAAAACTCTGAAATCCCACAAAGTGGACTATGAGCACATAGTTCCAGTAAATCCAGCTGGGGTTTTTCAGGGTGCCATGAGTCCCTCCTAAAAATTTTGAAAATTAGGTGCCCTCATTTTCAATCGTGAGTATGTTTGGGGCATAAGATATGAATATTTTCAGGTACACTGTATCCTGTGAAAAATCCACTTTTTCTCCTCATGAAATGGTTAATCTATCCTGGTTCATTACCCATGAACAATAAATAGTCAATCATCGTATTCCCTAAGTTAGTAAATAACCTTATTTAACCAGCCAAGTTCCTGGGCATGAGAGAGGTGGCCATAGCTATATCACACAGCTCATGTGCAGTGGAATGTTCCGTGGAGAGAAGCCAATGAGGGAGTTGCATTGTAATTATATGTCAGACCATTTGTTTACAAAATATCATGAGCAAGTGGAACATCATCACTAGCGTAGGCTAACCCCCCCCCCAATAAAACAGTTCAGATCTCCAGGCCATTTATATTTCTTGCTTTACTATCCCTTATAATAGCACTAAACTCAATTAGCACAACTGGAAAAGCATCATGTTACAATATGTGTGTGATCAAATT